TTTAACAAAAATGTCCTTGCCTCTATGAACATCATATTTTAACTCTGATTTCTTATTAAGAATGCTTCAATATGTCTGATTTATCATTGTACTCTGTCTGATTCCACAAAATATTATTAGGGTTTAATATATTAAGATTCATCCTTTGAATTATTCCCATTAGGCAAATAAGTAACCAGGGTCATTCTGTAAAGCACAGGTGTGCATGTTATATGGTCTATTCACTTTCTGAAATGGACTAATACATTCTGCATGAGCAGAAGCTTGTAGGTGACTCACAAAGGTCACCCTTGCATACATCATTACAATATTCCCACAAAGAGCTTGCCAAACCATGACCAAAATGCAAAGGAGGAAAATATATTTACCCCTTGTTCTTAGGGGTCAGCCAGTAGCTTCTGTATAGGGATATTAACTGCATAGCTATTTGTCACAATTGAACCATGTTGAGCCAAAGTAGCCAAACCAGTTACTCAGTCACCAGATGCATGCTTTGCCTAGGGAAGGGCTTGATCTCAGCCAAGGTATCTCTCTGCAGCTCAGGCAGATCCTGAAGCTACCTGACAGCTACCATCTCTGTTGGGCTCAGTAGCTGGGCTCTGGCTGCATGACTGAAACCCTCATCCCCACGGGGTCTGTGCCCTTCACAGGTTGGGGTTGTTGGCCATGCCCATTTATAAACACAAGTGTGCAAAGAATCACTGAGAAAACTCAAGTGAATTGAATTCCACTCCATAATCCTCTCTGTCCCCATCTTGTGAACAGCTCTACCTCCTTCTGACAGACTCCTTTATCTCTGCCAAGACAATGATTCTCTTCTTGCCTCTTCATCCCTGGACATTAAAAAAAAAAACAAAAAACAAAATATCAAGGTGGCAGGCCTAGCTTATAATTTAATGAGGCACTTATTAGACAAACTGAAGAGAGGTATCCCTTGAGGTTATAGAATTCTAATCATTCAGAGCCTACAGCTGCAGAGGAGGGAAACGAAATGCTCCCCAGTGAGCTGCGGGGAGTGAAGGGAACTCCTGCTCCCACTCTTAATCCCCATGGTATGTTAGTTTTCTAGGGTTGGGGCAACAACCATGAACTAGTGGTTTGAAATGATGGAAAAGTTATTTTTTCACACTTATGATGAGAAGAAATCCAAAATCAAGGCACTGGCAGGATTAGTTCCTTCTGGAGGTTCTGAAAGAGAATCTAGTCCATAACTACACACACATCTGCTGCTTGTGAGCAATCCTTGGCATTCCTTGGACTTTAATCTCCGGTTCCATCTTTTCACGATAACCTCCTTTTTTGTGTCTGTATGTCCTCTTCTCTTCTTATGAGGACACCAGTCTTAGAGTAAGGGACTATCCCTAACCCAGTATGGTCTCATCTTAAAAGATGAGATGATGATCTTATCTGCAAAAAAAGACCCTAATTTCAAACAAGGTCACATTCTGACATTGCAGGTGGTCATGAACTTTGGAATGACACTATTCAATCTACTGCACATGCATTTTCTCTTTGGGGAACACAATAGAATAGAAATGTCTGTGGTTGAATGCATACCTGTGGCTTGCAAAATGGTATGACATCTTTGCAGAGTACTGCCTCTGAGTATTGCCACAGCTTCAGCTGTGTCTTCAGCACACCATTGTAATATTTCATGAGGCAGGAAGTTTCTGGGTGATGTAGTTTGTGATTTGACCAGTGGATCCCATGGTATTTCTGTATTTCACTTACTTAAAAGGGGATCTCCTGACCTCCGGATCTGACATGTGTTATGTGGCAATCTCGTGCCTGTGAATCAAACACTCCATAAATTCTCAGGTACTGAGACTGAATATGCCCTACAGGAAGGAGAAGGAAAATCCATTTCAAGAATGTGAATTTATTCCATATAGCGTGTCTGATCTGTCTCCTGAAGCAATGATGCTCCATCAGGGGCTCTGCACTTGCCCCTGCTGCTGACAGATCTGAACTTGGGCAGTGGTGGTAACTAGATGGGCCTTGGTAAGTTGGAGAGAACATACTATCTGGCCCAGGGAGTGTGTATGTCTGTAAATACAGATGACGCAAACACCCTCTAGAACCCAGAGGCCTGCATTGTGATTCTATTGCAGTGTGCCTCAATGCACCTCATCCCATCACTAGAATCTCTAGTATAATGGCATCTACCAATGGTCCAGAAAGCAAGGCTGCTTCCACTGCAACCTAGAGCTGCTGCAGAGCCCTTTCCCACCATGGGGCCCACTCAAAGGCAGCAGCCTTTTGTATCAACTGTGTAGGAACCATAACACTATTCTCAGTGAAATATGCTGCCTGGTGCACTTGAGACCCACCAGGCATCATGCTTCCTTCTTCAGGGCAGGAGGATACACATATGCTCTGTCACATTAGCTTTATACTTTGGAAGTGAGATATCAGTCTGTCCCTTACCACTGGAGCCCTAAAAATTTTAGAGAGTGGCAAAGAATTTATAAGGTTTATCTCCTCCCCTGGAACACATGTCTTACCAAGGCCTCCACATTCTTGGCACTTTCTTGTCATCTGCCTTCATCAACATAATGTCATTAGGTAACATGTCTATGTTCTTTAGGGTAAAGGGGCTTAGTTAACAAACCCCTAAGACAAAACTATAAATGTAGATTGTTGTCCATTCCATGTGAACGCAGTTTCTGATTCCTTTTGGACCAAGAAAGAACAAACCAAGATGGTATCTCATGTACTTGGCCACATGTGTCTGCTCTAACAAAGATGCCACCTCTGGCACAGCAGTTGCAATCAAGACTCCTACTTGGCTGAGGTTGTCTATAGTCATCCTCCATGATCTATTCAGTTTCTGCCAGGGCCAGAAAGGTGAATTAACCTAGATGTGATGAGACTATCACCTCTGCATCCTTTAGATTTGTAAGGATGGCACTATGTTCTGCCATCACTATTGTTTATTACTATCCTGGTCAGAATGAGAAGGAAGCAATGGCTAGTCAGTTTCAGAAGCTTCCACTTGGCCTTTCACATACCCAGTGAAACCACGGTGAATTTAAGCGTGGCCAGGAGTCCCTTTATTACTCCATTCCTCTCTAACAGTTTCTGGTTAAGTTGATTTAGACTCTACATTAAACAATCTATGGAATGCTTTATATTCCCTCTTTGCTGAGGTAGAATTACCAGAGCAAATGGCCATCGGTCCCTTTGGGGAAGCACTGAGGCAATCATTACTTTGTACTGATGTTATGGCATAGTAGAGTCCTTCCTCCCACCCAGCCATCTCTAGATCTGTTACCTAAGGCCATTATGTTGATGAGGCTGGATGAACATGGAGGTCTTGGTAAGACATGTGTTCCATAAGGAGGTTATCTTTATAGACATTCAGGAGATAAACTTCATAAACTCTTTGCCACACCAACAAAAATTTTAAGCTTCCAGTGGTGAGGCATAGTCAGTGGGCTCCAGAAACTGACTAAGGGGTGGTAACACTTCACTGAGGTGACCAACCTGTCTCCATGTATCCAAACTTAATTTTGTCTAATGGTATAAACTGAGTAGTACTCTTGTGCCCATTTAATTCGCCCCTAAGGGTGCTGTGTTGTATTAATCTTTTCCATAAGTCTCTGCAGGTTAGGTTTCCTTGCTGACCACTCTCACTTTGAGTCATTATGTTGTGATCCCCAACTTTTGGAAATTAGGCACTACCACTTTGCCACTATTTTTCAATCTGGTCACAGATTGCCACCAGCACTCTGAGCTCTTTTTTCCTACTGTTAAAATGACCTACAGAGAGCTACTTAAACTTCTCAGGGAATGCTTGTGTCATTTGCCCGTGTCTCTATAGCCTTGTTAAATGGTGTCCACTGGCCTTCTCATGGAACGTCACCATCTGATGGATCTTCTAACCAAATTGTATCCATTCTAGTATATCCACCTCCCTAAGCCTCTTAAATCCTTTCTCCACCACATCACAGTAATCTTCACATTTCAACATTGTTCAGATGGGCTATTACTTTTTCCATGCTTCTAGAAGCCATCCTAATAAGATCACACTGTCTCCTACAATCCGAGGCTTGGGTGTTAAACTCTCTTACTATAGCTCTTATCCAGGAATCCAAAGGCCCAATGTGGGGGGTTCCCATCAAACTCCACCCCAATTTTATGTTCTCTCTCTTACCACTCTGATTCCAGTCTTAAGCATACTCCTCCAAGAAATGCTGGCCAATTCTTGCAGTTCTTTTGGACATAGTCTGTCTCTACCTTCAGGTCCAGCACTTCCCAACGGGAAGCCCTCTGGCTTTCACACCTGGCTTTCCATTATTATTGTCCTCTGCTGTTTGTTATGTTTCTATTGAACAAGAACAGCTTAACTATTGTTAGTCCAACACTGTTATCCTCATAGCCACATCATTCTCCATATTCAGGAGATTAACTTCTAAAATCTAAAATGCCCACCATATATTCTCTTCCACAATTGCACCATCCTAATTCATTGCCAATTGGAACCTGTGCAGGACCTGTCTGTTCTCCATTTGTCATCAGTGCTTTGGGAAGAGGGAGTCTGGGTTACTTATCTTTGTGAATTCCATACAACTACCTTCTGCTATCTATTTCTCTACTAGCAAAACAATGAAGAAAACAATTTATTAATAATAGAACTAAGTTTTTCCAAACTAAGTTGAAAATACAGAATAAAATATTAAAAGTATATAAGTGAAATACTAAATTTATTCAAAGAGAAATAAAATTTCCTGGCTAAAGCGTCTGTAATATTATTTCTGATATTGTGTCTCTGAAAAACAGCTGAGTCCTTGTCAATACATTTAGACATCAACAACAGATAATGTTTAGGACATAGATTGTGAAGAAAAAGATGAGTCAAATGAGAAAACATACATGACTAAGATAATATGACTGTTTAATGAAAATTTAGAATAACATGATTTTCATCCTGTGAACATAGAAAGAAAAAATAAAGTAATCCATTTTACCCAACATTTTACAAAATCAGACACAACAGATTTGTAAGCAATATTTTTTAATAAAAACAGTAATTTCATTTCCAACAAATAAATTACCATCCTGTTCCTTTTTCCTATATATATGTATCTAATTGGCAAAATTTTCAGTAATCTTGGCAACTAGATTACTGAAATCAGTTAACAATCCAACTCCATGATGCTTCAATTGCTTGGATCAATATACAACTTACATTTGAAATTCATTCTTCATATGATACAAGCTTGATTACTGGTTCCTATAAAAATGCTATGCCCTACTCCTCGTAACTACCATCACACAAGGGTCAGCAATGATACTTTTAAATATCCACACCCACACACTTATGTCATCAACCACACCCATTCCTGATCCTCTCACGCATGACTACCAGTGGGCAAGCAGCTCTCCTAGTTGTCTTGTTCTTCATAGTGCGCATAGCCACTGGCATAGGTCCTTCCTAAATTCAAGTTAGTAAACAAATCTGATGACTCAACATCTGAATCCTTTCTGCCTTCTTCCTCTTCCTCTTCATCATCCTCTGCCTCATACTCATCCTCCTCCTCATCGTGGTACCCAGCATCACCATACTTGTCAGATGAAAGGTTCTTCCAATAAGCATCATAGCCAGAAGCTCCATCTCCCTCCTCAACTCCAGTCTGCCGGCCAAATTTCAGGGACCGTGCTATAAAAGACAGACATGTACGTGGTATTTTGTTAGTTCCAATTCTCTACATCTTCATTTTTCTCTACAATATGTAAAATACCATGAACTTCACTGGCTGCTTTACCCCCAAATGAAAAAACATAGCATATTTTACTCATTTTCTCATGTAATAAGTCTATATACGTACCATGCCAAGTAATAATGTTTACAATGTAATTTCACTAAATTTATGAAAACTTAGAAAACAAAATTAAACCAAGCAAACACTCCAAAGAGACTAAAGCAGGTTAAAAAGTAAAATACCTTTCGTTTGGTCAATGACAAGTTTACTTACAAATCACATAAATCACAGAACAGAGTTGATTTCCTCTATCACTATATTTCCCTTAAAACAGTTATCTTATAATGCAGATGAGCTGACAAAGACTTTCATTTCTTTTACTTTAGTAGTTACACAAAGTTTAGTGCAGAAGATCAGGAAAGTCATCAGTCTTCTAGTTGCAAAATCACTGCATCATACAACTACATCTTTTATTAAACAAAGTACTGTCAGAGTCATACAGAATTAAGCTTCCAATCTGTTTGGCAAAGAGTCAAATTTCTCTTTCACAAAACTGTGAGCATGTTCCCAATAGTCTTACTCTTTCATAAAAAGTTACATAAGACAATTTTCTATAGCAGTAATATATTACATAACAGTAATATATGTGTACATATTACATAATAAACATAGCTGTTCAAGAAACAATAGCCTCAGAATGAATCTGACTTCCAAGTACTAAAGATTACTACCACTTGAATATTAAGAACTTATAACCACTCAATTATTTAAAAAGAAGGCCTCAGCAAACACAAACTAAAGAAAAAAAATCACTCTTTTTTTAATCTTAAATTTCAGTATTCACTATCATTAACTGAAGCAATACCACATATCAAAATGAATACTGGTGTATTTCATAAGTTAAATTCAAAAATTTTACCCACATATTTTCCTAGGCTTTAAAATTCAACTTGCTTAAGAGATTACATTCATCTTTTCAAATAGGAAGAAAAGGTAATAAGAATATATATAGAGAGAGAAAGATATGCTTTGTGTTAGCTTTTAAACAAACATTCCATTGGTATCTTAAGAGCCTTACTTGACATGCTAAGATCCTTAGTCTCCTGAGTTTCATGTCCACATTTAGGACAAGGAGGCTGTTTTCCTTTTTCTTGCTTAAACACCTTGCTCCTTGTATGATCATCACAGAAACAAGCCTATACAAGAGGTGAAAAATAAATAAATACAAATTTAAAAGTATACTAAAAAATAATATTCAATATTTCAAAGAAATTTAAAGATAAAGAGTTTTATCGATGCTGAAAGAGTAAGAATTGGGGGGGGGGGGCAGTCAGAAAATGATTTTTACCAGGACTTTTTGTGGTTTTGTTTTGTTTTTTTGAGACAGAGTCTCACTTTGTCACCCTTGGTAAAGCACTAAGGCATCACAGCTCACAGCAACCTCAAACTCTTGGGCTTAAACTATTCTCTTGCCTCAGCCACCCAAGGACACAGGACTACAGGCACCTGGCACAATGCCTGGTGAATTTTAGAGACGGGGTCTCACTTGGGCTGAAAATGGTCTCAAACTACTGAGCTCAGGCAATCCACCTGCCTCAGACTCCCAGGGTGCTAGGATTATAGGCGTGAGCCACCACATCCAGCTTACCAGGACTCTTCTGAACACAAGAAGACTAGCTATACACCGGGTACATTTAGTCATTCATAAATATTTGAGTATTTACAAGGTCCCTGATGAAACAGTGGTGAATAGCCTATTTACCCACACAGAGGTCTACTCAGGGATAGAAACAGTGAAGAGGAAATTACAAGCTACTAAGCCTGGAAAGAGAAGCACAGAGGAGGGGCACTAAATCAGACGTGGGATTCAGTGAAGGCTTCTTGGTGGACATAAAGTCTCATCTGAGATCTGAAGGAGAATGAAGATGTAGCACGGTAAGCAAAGATGACGAATGTTTTAGGAAAAAGAAATAGCTCAGACAATGCCTGAAAGTGTAAGCTTGAACACCTCTAACAAAATTAAATCCATTTCATAAAACTGGTGAAGAGTTGGGAGAGAAATAAAAAGGGTTAGGAATACAAGAATAAGAACCAGAGAAATGGTTATGAGAGAAAAGTGAATTGGCTGCATCTGTTTAGTGATCTTTGACAAAGAGAAGGAAGGACTAAGGACACAGAATATTATGGAAATCTTCACTTTAACCAAACCCCTCTAAGCAGGTACATTTTGACATTTACTAATGTACTTCCTTTCCTTTGGTCAGAATGGTACCCAGAAATATAAAGTGTAAAAAACACTGAGTCAGGATTCCAGAGACAAGTGTACTATGGGCAACTCTACCACAAGCCAACTGGATGACCATTGGATAGGCATTTAAACCTTCTCAACTTCAGTTCCACAATCTCAAAAATAAAGAATTAAACTAGATAATTTTAAAGTCACTTATTAATTACAGTTATAAATAATGTAAGGACTGGTGGAGTACAAGCACTAAAAATGGAATCTATAAAGAAAACAATAAGTGTACCTTACAACGGAGACACGAATGCTGACCAAGCCGATTGCATGAAACACCTGTGGGAAAGAGATTCCTCTTCAAATCCTGTCAATTATTCAGTTTTTAGATTTTTTTCCTTTGTCTTTCATTGAATCACTAAAAGCCTATGATGGAATTGTGGCCTTATCACTCATAGTTATCTCTCTTTTGGGCTCAAATGCTTTAAAATACACAAGGATCCCATGCCCCCAATAACATAATTCAATTTTTATATTATACATTCTGTGAAAACCTAAGAAAGGCTGAAAAATGTTATGTACTTTGAACATTCTTTTAATCATTAGGAATTTCATACATATTGCAAGAATTACTTATACACAGTATATATGGTATATATGATATGTTTTGGTGTATCTCAGACAGATAATTAACTTTACAGTTGAGTATAGGAATTGGCATTTCATACCAGAAAAAGACCCAGATTCAAGAAAAGACTACTGGGGAATTTCAATCTTTTCTCTATGATGCTAACTCTGTAAGGGCTTTCTCAGTGCCAGGTACGACATACTACTGCTTTATATGGATTCTCATTTCAATTAACCTTTTGAGGAAGAAATTATCCATAAAGACGACCCTATTAACTCAGTCAATAACACTGGTTCCCAAATGGAAAATACATAAGAATTGTGTGTTCAGCTTAAATATAGAAACCCGGCGCCCACCATAGACTTAGACACAAAAACACAGAATGCATTTTTTTTAAAACCTCCACAGTTATTTCTGATGCACACTCCAGTCTAAGCATCACTGGAACTAGCTAGCAGGAACACACTTGGGATGGTATCACTTACTTAAGGGCATTTGGAAATGGAAAGGGAAGAAGCATGTTTGGCTATCACAATAAGGTGGAGATAAGAATGACATCTGGTACTCTTAGCCAGAAAAGGTGTTAAGTTCTACAATTCTGGGTCAAGCTTACAAAATGAATAACTGACCCCACCAATATGCCATTGGCATTCCTGCTGATAAATTCAGGACTACATGTTCTGAGATGTTTTTCTACAAACAGAAAGTAGAGATTGAGTTCATAAATTACAATTCCTAACAGGTTGCATAAAAACTTTGATTCCTTTTTTATTAAATGTAACACTTATACTATTCAGATTCTTGGGCATACAGAACATTTAATATAAAAAAAGACTTACATTTAAATGTTTCTGCCTCTAAAACCTGGCAGCTGGCTTGATGCTCAAATTGATCATCTTCGCAGAGAAAGTTATGGCAAAAAGAGCAACTGAATATTCTGCCTCCTAGTAAATTAACAAAAAGGCCACAGACATAAATACGATACACTTTAATTTACAAAACTCATGTCTATAAAACTTCTCAGAGTACATGGAGTTACTTCCAAGGGTTCTGATAAAAGCTAAAGGGAAAACTCAAGTACTTGAAATTAAACCATGAGAAAGTGGGCTCACACAATGCTCTGGCTATTCATATAATACAGCGCTCAAAAAGAAGACTACTTGCTTACCCATAGCTCCCCTCCCTACCTACTTAGACAGATACCAGTACTATTGCTGCTGTTGTAAATTGCTTTTCCAACTAAATTGCTAATTCAAATAGTACCAGTAGTTAAGATTGACAGTACCCCACCCCCCAAAAAATCTGAAAAATAGTATTCCAAATGTTCACAAGTCAGCCTTCACTCACAATTCATTACTTGTATTGAATGACTCACCGTGGTCCCATACACCTCGTTCACATTCAACACATTCAGCATCAGTAAGAGGGCAGACACAGGCGTGTGTACTGAGACATTTCCTACCATGGCAAACCCAAGCTTCACAGAAGTCACATATGGCACCCTGGAAGCAAAGAACAAGAAAACACAATCATTGTACCTGACCAGCCACAAGCACTGTTCAATCACGGCAACCATCAAAATTATATACATTTCGCAATTTAACAACCCTCAAAGATAGCAGGCAACTTCACCAAAGAAAAGATTTTACTACTTTAAACCAAAATTAAAAAGGGTTCTCTGAAAAACAACTTTATCCACAGCCATCCACAATATACAAAACTTAGCTATAAATCAAAAGAAAAAGAAGTAAAGGAGAACTATACCCTAATTACCCTAATATTATTAAATTAAGTGGAACTGGAAGTGTTGCCTTCAAAATGAATTTTTAAAAATGAAGTTTGGAGCCCATAGTTCAACCTTTCTTGCCTCAGCAGTCTTGTAAATAAATTTTTAAATACTACCACTTTCAACTTAAGAAAATTCCTTCTTATCTATGTAATTTGTAAAATAATCACACAGGTTCTTTTTTCATACTGTAAGTTATGCCTTAAATCATTATTACATTTCTTCATGTAAAAAAAGTGAATGTATGGAACTAAACTACAAGGTAAGACTTTTCAATCCTATATCAAGGTAAGACAATTAGAATGCATATTACAATAACACACTGACATCTACAGAATATTAAGAGCTAGAAAGACTCTTAAGGAAGTAGGACTAAATGATATTTCCTCTATAAATAAGAAACGTGGGGAACAAGACTAAATCAAAGTCCCAGAGCTGGATTACAGCTGAGCTGAGATTTAAATACAGGTTTTTGGAAACTCAATTGAGCATTCTACTATTCAAGGCTATGTAACAAAAGTAGTAAACAGAAAACAGAAAAATATTTTTTAACTTTTAAACATGGACTGACCAGTATAGCTAGGAAATCCTCAAATTATCTCTTGGGTCAGCCAGGGTCTGAGAAATGGCCCTCTCAAACTAGACAATCTAAGAGTGTTTAAAAGAGAATAATTAGAAAGGACAGGGAAGGGCTTAGAACAAACAGGAGAGGACTACCTGACCACATGGAAAGGAACTGTGGTCCTTAGAAAAGAGCATAACCAAAACGGGATAACCTGGAAGGGAATGAGACAGGAGGATAAACAAACACCCAGATCACATTCTCCTCCCACGCTCAGGAGGAATCAGTTGCCAAATAGAAGACAGCCAGAAAATCACTTTCCTAGAATTTATAGCTAAAGATTCTATTTAAATATTTTCTTTAAAGAACAAGAAATCATTCACATTCATATTGCACAGTAAATCTAAATTAAAAAAAGGAATTTGATACATTTAGTTAAATAAGTGACTAAGGAAAGATAAAAGGGTTTTTGAATAAAGATTAACACTGTCAATACTATATTTAAAATAAAGAAAAAGGAATTCAAAACATGGTAACTTTGGCTCCTTGCTTCAATAAAATGTGTACACATAAAATGTATCATATAAAGGTCTGCCTCACGTTAGAAGATATGTTCTTGGAAATTTACCATAAAAAAAAATACTCCACTTGACCTCAAAATAGTACTACTTTCATAAAATCATGCAACAGAATATAAAGTGGTTCATTCATATTTAAAAGAAAAACATATTTTAGTAAATAAACAAAATGCACCGCACAATCCAATTCTTTTCATTATTTAAAATGCTGAATTTCTTTAAAAAATCCTACATGTAAGAAGAAATTACATTTTTTTTTCTTGAGATAGTCTCACTCTGTTGGCCTCACAGCTACCTCAAACTCTTGGGTTTGAGCAATCCTCTTGCCTCAGCTTCCCCAGTAGCTGGGACCACAGGCATGCACCAGAAAGCCCTGACTAGTTTTTCTATTTTTGCTGAGGCTGGTCCCAAATTCCTGAGTTCAAGCAATCCACTTGTCTCAGCCTCCCAGAGTGCTAGGATTATAGACATGAGCTACATCGCCTGGCGTACAGAAATGACATTTTAAAAATATATATTTTTTTGAAATGTAAAGCTTCTTAAAAAAAAAAAAAATCCTTTTAATCCTAGGTTCTTTTGGAACTAAGTCATTTATTTAACCAAAGCATAAACATTGGTTCACCAGTACAGTAAATAACGATTTGTGACATCTGGGTAAGACACTTTAGAAAGGTCCCACTGAGAAATGATTATTTGTTTGGGTCAATATGAAATAAGTTTCCATTTCTTATATATTTCCCAGTAAGAAAGAAACAGCCAGAAATGAATGAGTCCTAAGGCAAACCCCATAAGAAGCATGCCGCAGATAATCCAGTTAACTGCAGATGGACTGAAGTAAGGAATAAAACACTGCATTTTAGAAAACAGTAACCACTGATCAAAATGACTTTTTCTTATCCTTAGACACATGAGTCCAAGAGATAATTACAAGAAGCTTACCACCATTGCAAGGCCAGTACTATATACACCAGCATGCTTTATGACACAGTCTGAAGATTTCATCATGCACTTTGTTTTCCCTAATAAAGAAAAAAATGGGCACTGTTAGTCTTGCAAAGTAGTACAATAACATAAATTCTATATTCTCTATAATTACTACAAAAGTGATTTTCTGAACATTTTCTATTTGCATCATCAGACTCCCCCTGAGAATGGGAGAAAAACAAGTATTCACTAACTCCCTATTTTATCCAGCTCAACAAAGTTTCTGTGGAAATAATTCAAAAACAAATGTAATGAAGTCAATGTAGTTTATTGCTTACATAACTAAAAAAAGAAAACAGATGTAATTTAGATCTCATTACCTGAGTCAGATCTTTTGAGATTAGAAATTTATTAATAAATCTATAAAAATGAATTATATAATTTACATGCTAATTCATGTTTATACTAAAATCAGAAATTTTAATCTATGCTTTATAATCTAATCATTTTAATAGTTTAAAATCTTATGAATTTTCAGGTAAATCAAAATAGATCCTAAAAAGAAATGCTTTAAAATGAATTTCACATTTTATAATTCACAATAAAAAATGGTCTGGTTAAAAGTTATCACTTCTTTCCATAGACTACCCCAAACTAAACCACACTAAATAATGATTACCAAATTTATCTGGTTCTAATTTTATCCATACATAAAAATTTATAAACATAGCACCCAAGTAAACACTTTTGCAACAGAATTTTGAAATAGTGCCCAAGTAGGTACAAAATCAAGAATATAGTGATATAATTAAAAATCACAACATAGCTACTTAAGCTCTGATCTAGCAGCAAAATTAAATTATCAACCCAAAACAGTGCCAGGAAATTTGCTTATCAAATACTATATCAGAATTAATGATGACACTTTAATCATTCAAGACCCTATAAAGTGGAACACAAAAGAAATAGAAGATGCTAAATTTTCCATTGCCTTAATTTCATAAGGAACAAAGTTAGAGAATAGAAAATGGGAAGAAAGAGAAACTGGAAATGAGAGGTAGCAACTACCTATTAATGTTAAGAATAAGAATCAATAGGTGAGAAATGCACCCATGTACAGCATTACAAAATTCAAGCCGAGTGACACCGAAAGCATGGGAAGGTCCTAGCAATATCCTCTGTCTTAATCTTCCACAAAATCTATTTGCTCACTCTATGTTCGTTTACTTTTGTAAAATAAGGATATAAAAACTGGCAGATAAGCATCCCATGTAGGCCAGTTTTCTCTTTTTCATCACCGGTAAAACTTAAAAAGATGTCTTTGAAAGCTATAAATGTGCTAAAAATATTCAGGGAGGGAGCCCTACTAATTTTCTGCAATACTCCCATACACACACACACACATTTAAATGAGCATACCCACAACTGTTTCACCTGAACTATTATCCCATAAATAAAAGGGATATTTGTTCAAATGTAAGTTTTTTGGGAGAGAAGGGAATTAATCTGGAGTGAATAGAGTTAATCAAGTTTGTTTACTGCAGATCTTTAAAACTTTTAACATATAAATAAGCAACAGAAATTTCCCAGATGAAAATGAGAAAATGAAGCACACTGTATTTCTCAAATATATATTTTTTTTTCAAAAGACACCTATCAATATCTCAGTCTGTGGAAAGCTTTGGGAAACACCAATCTTGTTACAATTTAGTTTTATTTCACATAATCATTTCAGACTAAAATCTGAATTTTAGATTCAGATCTATACTCGAGAAATGGTTACCTAATTAGGAATTCTATTTCAGTAACTTGGGAATACATGTGAGGAAACTCAAGAATCATATGGTAAGCATCAAACACAAAAACTACCGATCACAAAATTAGCATCGGGTAAATGTGGAATAAAATTATTCTCAACGTTCTAACAGACTGCAAATATATCAGTCAAAATTTATACAATTAAGAGTCTCATGCTCTGACTCAAAAATCAGCACATTGTACCCCACATATGCATGAATGTATTCATGATCTATGTGTATTTGACTTAATAAAATAAAAAAATAAAAAAACTTATACAATTAAAATTTAGAAAAGTAAACAAGTTGACATCAATAAGACTAAGGTGGTATAATTAAAAATTCAGGATTATCAAATTTTATCAATCTGAAATCTGATCTTTTAATGTTTCAAACAACTTATTGGCAACCTACATCTAAACTGTACCTTAATTATTTCCCAGGATTGCATCAATAAGGCAAAACCAACACCTGGTGGTTTTTTGGTAGGCCAAATAACAGTTTATGGTGTTTTATTAATGTTAAGGCATAAAAGTATAAGCAATTACAATCACTGTAAGCAATAACAATGAATCTACAAGTTCAAATTAAGGTCCAAACAATTGTTTAATAAAAGGAAAGGCATATGTCCTTAGTTATGATATACTTACCACACTGTGCACAAATTGGTAACTTCTGTACAGAATTACAAAAATAGCAAAATGCTCTATTCTTCTGCCGCCTTGTCATGTAAAATAAAATTTTAAAAATATAGTCAATATCAGAAGAAAAGTCAAAGGGACTATTTTATTACATGTAGATAGAGGAATAAAATTTACCTTTGACACTTGTCACATTCCTGTAATATGTAAAAATATTACATTAATTTTTTTGTTGGCTTAACTATAAATTTACTTGCATCATAAATAAAATTCTGTTTTTCCTGTTAAAATTAAAGACACTACACCAAACCCTCCCACCCCACGGATGTATAGAAGCATCTACACATACTTCAATAACAAAGGTATACTATTACTCTAAAGCAGTGATTTTCAGCTGGTGCGCAGTGAGAGGATCTCAGGTATGCTGCAAAAATGGTTAATGATCATTAATTAAATTATTTTTGAAATAAGTTCAAAACAGACTAAGCATATTCTTTTTTTACTCTTTTTTTGGATCAACGTGATTTAAATGTGCCGTGCAAGTTTAACCATAGGTTCAAGTGTGCCGAGAAATAGAAAAGATTGAAAAACACTGCTAGGGAAGAAGAAGTGGCATTATCGCAGTGGTAGTTTATTTTTTGTTTATTTTGTAATCAAATACAACATAACAGACACAAGAAACAGCAGAGAACAGTAATAACCTCACAGAAAATCTAGATCCCAAAACCCAACTTTAAAAGTCCTCCATAATCTAGTCCCTTAACTACTTTCCAAACCTTTTCTGTCTTGTTCTCTTCAGGTTCAAGTCACTAATGATCAGCCATTCCCCAAATGTACTCTCTTCTCCCTTCCTTTACTTGTTGTACATCTACCCTGAAAAGTCCCTCCTGGTGAATTCTGTCTGTTAGCTACTGTGGTGGTAATCTCATCTTCTCTGGGAACTGCATTCTTTTCTATACACACCCAACTTTACCACATCTGAGTCCTAATAAATGCATTGTGCCTATATTGAAGTACTTAATCTGGCTATCACTATATAGATAGACAAAACAGACAGATGGATGTATGACAGTCATTTATTGTTCTGTATGCCCAGCATCTCCCTCCTATGGAAAGAACTTTTGACACACAGAAGGGAGTCCCCACTGTCACATCTGTACTCACTACCCTCCACTTCCCAATAAATGTCCGTTTTGGAATAAGGACTAGCTCAAGCCAAACTATCAGAATTTTTTCCTTCCCTGAGAACAATATGTGATATGAGACATATCAGCTACCAGTAACTATGAAAGCAAACAAATGGAGTTAAGACTATCTGAGAAAATGGAATAAGCACAAAGAAACAAAAGCAAAAGATGAAATGTTTTCTCAGGTTCCAGTTGTCCCTGAGTCCCAGCTATATCATGCCCTTCCCAGTACGTGAGTTATTCCATTATCTACTCAATAAACTATTTTCCCCTAAGATTATTTAAGTTAGCTCTTTGTCATTTATAAACAAATATGTCCTAAGTAACATATAACACATCTGAACTATAAGTCTGTAGAAAAAGGATCATGTCATTCACCCATGCACCCATGCATCACAGGCCTAAAATACTACCCAGCACAGAGCAGATAACACAATAAACATTGCTAAATTAAGCTACACTAGGTGGTGCCTGTGGCTCAGTGGGTAGGGTGCTGGCCCCATATACCGAAGGTGGTGGATTCAGACCTGGCCCCGGCTAAACTGCAACAAAAAAATAGCCAGGCACTGTGGCAGGTGCCTGTAGTCCCAGCTACTTGGGAGGCTGAGGCAAGAGAATCACCTAAGCCCAGGAGTTGGAGGTTGCTGTGAGCTGCGTGATGCCACGGTACTCTTTAAGGGCAATAGAGTGAGACTTTCTCTACAAAAAAAATTAAGCTACACTAAGCATGTGAAACAAAAGAAGAGGGAAAAAAGAGGAATAGTGGGAAGAGAAAAAGCAGAGTAGAGTGAAAACCGAATAACTCAAGAGAAACATGGTCAAAGAAAGTAAAGAGGTAATGATTACCTAATAATTATTTGTTTTTTCCACAACTTTCACCATTCAAAGCAGCCCAGAAATTATCAGGACTAACCCATTCAACCCAGGCAGATAAGGTAATCAAATAAGTTAACAATTACTAAAAAAAGAGATGAAAACCCAACTAAAAGGACAACTAGAGAAACTGGAAAATATGACAGTTTCTATTATTTATTCTTGTTCAGTAACTATCACCAACAGTACGTAAGGTAATATGCTAGGTCTTATAAGCAATATATATATCAAATGATTGCTACTCAGTGTTAAGTGAAAACAATGGACCTATTTCTAACGTGGATTTCAAATTCAGTAATAAAATATATGCAAGAACACTCTATTCAGGAGTATTTCAGACAAAATACTAATAGTTTTTAAACTATCAACTGATATTGACCAAAAAAAAAAAAAAAAGAGCAGTTACCATTGAAGCATTACATGGGTGTTTAGCTAAATCTATAGTATTTCTTGATGCTCTTAGTTGCTTTTCACGTTCCCGGCGGTTCTCAGCCTTCTTCCTCGCACCAGTCTTTTTTTTAGGCATTTTCCTTTATCTCCTCACAAAAGAACAGAGAAGATATAATTGCTAATTGCGCTAACCATTTTAATAGGCCAAGAAATAGCATAATAAAGTGTTTTTATTCTCATTAAATTTTAAACTCGACATCATCATTCTGATGGTTATGCATGTTTTAAGCTTTTATAAAACATTAAGCACACTATATTCCAAATAAAGTAGGTATTCTTAAAATTAGGCACTTATATGCACTACCAAGCAATTCCAAAAGAAACTAAACATTAAGAAGTTTATCCTAAAAGCCAAAGCAGTTTTCTTTTCTAAGAAAAGGTTTCTTTGGTGTTAAGTATTCTGCACCTCCTCAAAAACTCCATTAGGTATTTTACCATTAAGAAACTAGTAAGTGCATTATTTATACAGTTTAAATCACATTTTGAGCTATATATTCCGACAACCTGATGCTGCCAGATTGAAGAATGACAAGTCTAATTTTTTCTATGTAATATGTAAATAAAATATGTAACAGAAAATGACACCGTTAATTACAAAGGCAAACCATTTTGTCTTAAGATACTAAACATTAGTTGCTTTGACTCTGAAAGCATGCAGTTAGCAAAAAATTTTAATAGGGCAGAGTTCAAGTTTATGTTTAAGAGTATATATGTTTACCACGTATACCAAAGTAAGGACTTTAAAACTACCACATTTAAAAAACTGAAGTTTTCTGAATCGAATGGATCAATCAAAAACCAGCTAGCAGGCAGTACCGTGGCAACACAAAAATAGAGACAAATCAGCCAGGAGATTTAGTAAGTGGTTAATTTAACTCCAAGCCACTAAGGCATCCTTCCAATAATTAAACTGACAAACTCTAGGGGGCAGGAGTACTGCTCCATCCAAAGTAACTCAGAAAATAGTCAACGTGTTATCAATAATCACGAGGTAATCATGTGGAAGAACTTTCTGGGTCCCCAGAGGTGTCTTTTCAATCCGCTGATTGTCTCAATTTTCTTTTTCTCCAGTTCTGGAACCACAAAAAGACAGAACCTCCTTTCTCAGCTTTAGATGGCTTCTAGCCCTTTTCCTGGACACTGCACATGTCACTACGTGAGACTGGCACAGGGGCGCAGCGGCTGACAGCCTGGAGTCAGAGGGCCAGCGGGGTGGGGAGACGTCCAGGGGAGACGCGGCGGAGGCGCCACGCGGCTCGGGAGCGACAGGCGTCACCCGCCCGCGGGACACCCTACCTCGGCGCGCTCGGGCCGACCTCGCTCACTTTCGCCGGGGAACCGACTTGCTCGGGCCGAGGGCCAGGGAATGGCGTGAGGCCGGCCCGTGCAGCAGTAACTCCAACCCGTAAACCAGGACTCCGAGGAAATGAGCTACTAAAACCCAAGAAGGCTGACAGAGACGGTTTCGGACACCGGGAGGAGGACCGGATGTCCTCCTACGTCACAGCGTCCTTACGGCACACGTCGACAGGAAAAGCCCACCCATTTCTGTTCGCCCCGCCCCGGCCCCGCCACGCCACGCCCCCTGGTGGGAGGCAGCGCTCCCTTCTCCCGCAGAGGACCAGCAGGCCAAGGAAGTGGGTGCAAGCAAGAAGGTGGAGAATAGCGAAGCAAAAGGAGGGATGGGAGGGAGGCCTCTCTATTTTATTTTTTCAGCCAAAAGAGAAATATAAAAGGAAGAGGAAAATAACGTACAAACTTGGTATTCAATCATTTGATTGAAACAGCAAATTCTTGCCTAATTCTTTTGGAAAGTTTTCTACTGTCTACATATCTCATGTTTCACATTCACATCTTGGTTGCTTCCCAAGCTGTGCCTTCAATGGCCTGATGAAGTTCCCTGTACCCTCCTCTGTTCCTTGTTTTATGGTGTCCTCTGGGTTCCATTCCTCTGTGAACAAATTCTACCAGATCCTCTGCCTCTAGTATTCTCTCTGCCTGATTTTAACAGAAACTTCACTACCCTCTCCTGGAATCAGGGTCTCTTTTTTTTTTTTTAGTCCAGCAACTTAACCTTGACATAGCCAACTTAGTTTCCCAGATAATCTCCTTTGAAACTTTGCCACATTTATGATTAAGAGAGGGGCTTGTTCCTCCGCTTTTTCTGCCCTCCCACTGCAAGAGATAAAAGCCTCTTTATTTGCTACCAAAGAAGAATCTTGGCTTTACTTTTAGATTTTAATAGCCAATTAACCACTCTCAGCTTTTTACTATTCCAAAAAAATCAGTTTAGCAACAGCTACCTTAACTGTCCTTAAGGTTACTATTTCTCTCATATTTCTCAAATGCCTGATAACATTTCACCCACTCGTATAATACCTCTCATTACAATACCACCCATACAATACCCCTCAATACAATACAGTTAATTACTGATGAAAGTTTTAACTACCTTGTGCCAAAGTCTGTCTGTCTTACACCTATCACTAATGAGGAGGTCCTTATTGATAGGCAGCCTTTGATTCATGTTAAAAATCCCAACTTAGTCTACCCCTTGTACCACTCCAGGAGCCATCTGAAGTTGGCTTCTGCAGAAATTCTGAGTCACAAGGGACTATAGAGAGTGTATTAGGCAATGATTTTGGGAACAACAACTGTGGAAGAAATAGTATCAGGATTGAATAGAGGAAAGAGGTGACCTGCCGAGTAGTCTAAGTGAAAACCTCTGCTTAGAATCTGGGATGTCCTTTCAGGGTTGCCTAGACTTAGGGTAAGTGGACTAGTCCTTTATTCATCTGTAACATTCAGTCATTGGACAAGAATTGCCAAAGAAAGGGGGTTTAACTTTGGACTAGACCTAAAGAGGGCCTATAGCTGAACTGCTGTGTTAGCACTTCAAACACCTTGATAAATGTCTTTCATTACTGAAAGGGATGTCAGAATAATGAAATAAGCAGACAAAGACAAAGAACCTGTATCACTCACAGACACAGAATTCCAAAGGGTATATTTCAAGAAGGTGAAATGGAATTCAAGATAAAGGACTACAAAAAATAATTATTTAATATATAGGTAAATCTAAAACATATGTACAAAACATCAAAACTATAATAAACAATTTGGGATATGAAAACTATAAAGAACTGAAATATTACATAAATTGAATGCAATTCAAATCAAATCCTGGCAGATATTTTTTAGTGGAATTTGATTAATTTCTGCTAAAATTCACAAGAATGAATAAAGAATTGTAAAAAGTCCAGACTATTTTAAGCTCAACTGGAAAAATATCCTTATTTATTATAAATCTCCAGTAATTAAAAAAGTGTTGTATAGAGTCAGAGGTCAATAAACAGATAAATATAACTGAATAAGAAGCCGAGTTACAGACCCGTACATTTGGGTATTTGGTAAATGGTAGAGGTTGCACTATCATTAGTGAGAAGAAAGGTATTGTTCAATAAATGAGGCAAAGACTTTTAGATATCTATATGGGGAAAAATAAAATTAGATCCTCATTTAACAGCACTTAAATTCCAGATGGATTAAAGACCTAAATATACAAAGCAAAAATATAAAACTATTATAAGAAACTATAAGAGTATGCCTTATAAGATAGAATTGATTTCTTAAATAAGATACAAAAGCAAATCTTTAAAAATGAATAATAAATTTAAATTAAATTGAAAACTTTAACATGACTATAAATATAATATGAACAAACTAAAAAGGCAAATCAGAATGAGGGGATAAATTTGACACCCATATAACTACTAAAAGATTTGTGTACAGAATAAATAGAGAATGACCAATCAGTGAGCAAACTGCAAACAGCCCAAAAGAATTATAGGTAAAAGATATGAACAGGAGATTTTATAGAAGAAGAATCTAAATACCATTTAAAATATTCAAACCAATGCCACAATGGGACAGATTATGGCATTATGCCTATAATACAAGCCAAAATTTAAAAGCTGGGCACTTCAAAGTATTGATAAAAGGTGTTGAACCAAATTTTAAACAATTTTTGTGGGAGTATAAATTGTTAAGCCTATTTTGAAGAACCATACAGCAATATTGAATAAGGGTAAACATGTGCAAAACGAAAGATTCAGCCATTCCCCTTCTAGGTCTCTACAATAAGAAATTTGTGCACAAGTGTATGATATCATACACTCTTCAAAATCAAATTTTTTTAACAATCTATGTTTTATTGGGGAAAGGAACAAATTATATCTTACCCATATAGCAATTAAAGTTCATGAACTTTTAGTATCAACATGGATAATCCCCATCATGTATGATGAAAGAGAAGTCAAATTGAAATACCAAGCATGTAAAACGGTAAAGCAGAAGACCTCTTGTATGCCTTATTTATGAATATATACATATCTGATAAAAGTACCAAAAGATGCCTAGAAGTGACAGTAACATCAGATGTTGATTATCTCTGGAGAAGGAAAAAGAGATGTATGATGTGGAGCATTCGCTACTTTTTGTTGTCCGAATAATACTAATTAAGGAATATCTATAATACCTCAACATCCACCAGAACAGCTAAGATTAAAAAGACTGACAATACTAATTACCAAGTGTTGGTAAAGATTGGAACAACTGGAACTCTTATCCAGAATTCTTTGAAAATTACTTAGTATCATGTATTAAAGAATATATACATATATATCCCCAAAATGCATTCCAGTATTTACTAAAATACATGTGAAAGAATGATTATAATAGCACTATTTACAACAGCCACTCAATTATCCCTTAACAAGAGAATGAATAAATGAATCATATCATATTCATAAATGGAAATATTATACACAAATGAGAATACACAAACTACAACCTCACATAATAATATGAACGAATCTCACAAAAGTAACATTAAGCAAAAGAATCCCACAACAAAATAAAGTACACTATAATTTTGTTTGTGTAAAGTTCAAAATAGTCAAAACTAATTGAGTTAGGAGTCTGGATAGGAGTTAGCTTTGGGAAAAGGCAGTAACAGGAAAAGATCTCAAACAGGGTTTCTTCAGGACCGAAAATATCCTTTTTGTGATAACTGTGTTCAGCCTGTGACCCCTCATCAATTTGTACATTTATGATTTACGTGATTGAAATATGTACTATGGGGCAGTGCCTGTGGCTCAGTGAGTAGGGCACCGACCCCATGTACCGGAGGTGGTGGCTTCAATCAAACCCAGCCCCAGCCAAAAACTGCAAAAAAAAAGAAAGAAAAATGTACTATTTTGTTACAAGTTTTTGTTTTTTAAAAAAATACAAATTAAAATAGAGGCAGAAATCCAGATGAAAGCCTTAAAAGAAAACTCTTTATAGCAGTTCATTCCAAAGATTTACTTGCTGTGACATAAATAGAAAAATAATAGTTATAGGGCCCATGGGATAAACAGGACAGAGCTGTTGGTTGCCAGAGGTAATCCTTCGTGACTTATTCTTTCCCTTTCATTTTCTTCTTTTGGGAGGAAGGTAAAAAGCCCTATTTATTTCCCTTCCTGAAAAGTATTCTTTTTGTTTACATGACATGTACTTCTCATACCTATTGATTTTAGAAGAAAAAAGATTTTGTTCCTTTCTGGTCCCTAACTCAGGGGCTAAAGTCCAGGTACATGTCCAACTCATTCGCAGCACACAAATGTGCTGGGCCATGTGGAGAGCTCTGGACCACAGGACTCCTCAACCCACTCATTTAAATGCTTCTCGGTTTGGCTTTCAGTAAGGAATTAAAATTTGTTTAATTCTGCAAATAAAAGTTTATTTTCTAATACAGAACATACAAACAAATATTATTCAGCCTTTAAAAAGAAATAAATCTGACTCAGCGCCCATAGCTAGAGCACTGGCCACATGCACCAGGGCTGGTGGGTTTGAACCCAGCCCCAGCCTGCTAAAAACAAAAAAATAGCAAGGCATTGTCATGGGCACCTATAGTCCCAGGTACACAGGAGGTTGAGGTAAGAGAATCGCTTAAGCCCAAAAGTTGGAGGTTGCTGTGAGTTATGATGCCCCGGTACTCTACTGAGGGCAACAAAGAAACACTCAGTCTCTATTAAAAAGAAAGAAAGAAAGAGAGAGAGAGAGAAGGGAAGGGAAGGGAGGGAAATCTGTTAGAGGATAGATCTTATGTTAACTATCTTTAGCAGAATAAAACATTTTTTTTTTTAATTTTCCACCTTGTAAAATTACATTCCAAATCTGGCCACCTATGTTTTCCGCCTTTTGTGCATTCCACTGTCTTTAAGAACCAGAAGGGAAATAACCGTGGTTCACAAAATAACTGCATGATGATTCCACCTCAGTTCTTTTCAAACAGTGGTTCTCAACCTTCCTAATGCTGCAACCCTTTAATACAGTTCGTGTGGGTCGCAAACCACTGGTTGAGAACCACTGTTTTAAAACATCACATTTTTCAGTTAGGCCGATAAATGATCTTTTCATAAGTGGTTTGTGTATGTTGGAACAGCCTTATACTGTTATCTAACAAACAACTTCGTTCTCTCAAGTTATCACACCCTACTATCCACTGGCTCGCTAGATTGTAAGGAATGCCCTAACTACCCCTTTTGATCAATTAGCTTTGGAGAGAGGGACAGGATTTCTTTTTTTTTTTTTTTTTAATTTTCTGAAAATTTTATTAGGCAATTTTTCAAACATATGTCCTTGTAATCTGCCTCTGCAGTTGAAAACATTATCCAGTGATCAGCAAGACACCTACCACATACATTTTATAATGTTCTTCTTCTCCACATGTAGGGCATTTGTTCATAGGGAGGTCACAAGTTTTGTGGGCCCCTCATCACAATTTCCCCCAGATTCCTGTTGGGTGTGTTATAATCAGAGGAGCCATTCTTCAGGCCCCCTGCTCTGAGCACACCCCTAGGATTTCTAAGTATCTAATATTTGTATCACCCTGTATAGTTTACTAAGATTTTCATATTCCTTATTATATTTAATACCAATAAAACTCTATTGTTAAGTAGATATTAATCTCGACTTACAAATGAAAAGATGAAAGTTGCATCTGTCATGACAAATGAGATGTTTTCAAAATTGAATTCATCCTCTTTTCCCCCCAAACTAATGTTTCCTGTGGGTGGTCTGAACTTGGTGAACACAGGGCACTAATTCATCTGGTTAACTCAGAAATATGGGCGTCAACCCAGATATTTTCATCTCTCCGTGACCTCAAAATTATCTGTCAAGTAAATTCCCTCAATAAACTCCAGATCTCTATTTCGGCCAAGCTGTCCAGAGAAACTCTGTAAGAACAGAGCACACAAAATTCTGGATAGAACACAAGCAAACAAACCAAAACCTTTTTTCCAGGGCATGACTAAACTGGCAAATAAGTAATAAACAAATTAAAGACACCAGGATGCATGAGAAAGTAGGAATCCAGATAATAAGCACAGTCTGTACCTGGCATTTGGCTGGGGCTGTCTGGAAATCCCCAGTGACCTAAACTTGGATTATAATGAGTAACCGACATACTGGAGAAAGAGGCTCTGTGGCCACGAAGAGTAGGAAACTGAGCTGGACTTTCTTACATTAAGCTGGGACCTACAACAGACAACACTTCAGTGCAAAAACAAGGTTAAAAAAATCTTGCCATAGAGAGGAAACTAGCAGGGATCATTCTCCCTTGTTGCCATTGTCTTTAGTGGAATAAAAAATGGTAAAGAAGAAAGCACCACAAAGGAAGCACCCGCCACAAGCCCACCGTCAAGCATATTTCTAGTTTGTTTGATTTTCAGGTTTTCACCACAGTGAAACATTCTACAGTGAAACAAGAATAACAAATATGAGGAAGCTGAAAAGGCTCCAAAACATTCATAAAGTTTGATGTCCTGATCTGTGATTACTAAGTCCCTTCTTCCCAGGCTTATTGGAAGATTAATATGATGGCATATATGGGTCATTATGCAAGTTTTGAGATACACAGAAATCATGAAACATAAAATCCACACAGGGAGAAACAAATACCAGCAACTCTGATAAGCCACGCAAGTTGAAACGTGAACAAGTAAATCAGAAAGGATGCTGTCCACTGTGTTTCTTGGAAGTGAGATAACGAGCCATAACAGTCTGCCTCAAAAGTTTCATAGTGACCTATGTATAGAAAACCCTAAGCAAAGCACTTGGCACATAGGAAACATTAAGTGCTAAGCTCTCTCTCCCTTTGCTACCTGGCTGGAGGAGACCAGCAGCCCCTTGCTCATGTTTAGCTCTCTACTCACCTTTCAGTCCTGCCTTTCTGCCTCTGGAAAGTACAGTCCTCTAGTGGTCTCCAGCAGGTCCTGTAGATCATTCAGCAAGGTATATTTAGGTAGCCCTTGGGACTCCAGGAGTAAGGCATTTAAATCAGATTAGGCAGCTTAAAGTTACAGCATGAAGGTTCAACTCAAAGTAAGTGGGGAAAGCATTCACTTTTTTCCAGTTGTACTTCTTCCTTCCCTTTAGGAAGGATCTTTAATACAACCCTAGCCTGAGGATAGAACTTGAGATGAAATGAGTTGTTAAAATATTGACAATAGAGATTACAGTAAGGTCATATTGCCTTATCTCCAAGCCTGAAAAGTCATTGAGTGTTAATTTTTAACACACAATGTGATTATTTTTATCCAAGTATCCAATTGCTCAAGAATTCTGCGGGATTTATTTGTCCTTTCCCTCAAATATAGTCACCATTAAGCAACTTCTTAAGCCAGAAAACTGAGGAAGAGGGAAAAGGGCAAAAAGAAACCTAACTGACTCATCCTTTGTCAAGAAGCGCTCCTGAAAATTCAACTGAATGACTCTGGCTTTAGATAATGGACCAGAATCAAATCACATGATTGTGGCTATCTGCCAGGGAAACTGGCAAATGAAGTTTTTTTTAGAAGGAAACTGTAAACCGTGAATAAAATTGGGGTTCTGTTACTAAGGGAGAAATGGATAATGGGCATTAAGTAGGAGAGCAGTATTTGCCACACCTTAATTTTTGATATTCTGCAAGACAGGAAATCTGAAACTATAAGGAAGTCTTTAACAACAACAGCAAAAAGTAGGTCCAAATGGAAAACAATGTGTTTGTTAAAAACCCTTCCAGTATGAAGCAATTAGATCCCACATGAAATGTTGCTCAGCTCACAGGAAGCAAAGAAAATCTCTTGCCACCACCACCCACGCCCTGAAAAAAAGCTTGAAACTGCAACCAGCATGTTAAATGTAAGCTAATATTTAAGGGGCATATTGTCTGAGGACAAAGCCAACATCTGCATGACCAAGAGAAGATTAAATCTCTTGGCAGCAACTAGTGCAAGGCCCTCAATCAAAGCTTAAGTTCGAAACTGCAACCGTGAAGAAATCTGAAGTCCCAGGTCAGTGCTGCTCTTGACTCCAATGAGAAGCAGATACAAATACTCACCAGAGGAAAGAATTGTCAGTTTAGGCCCCTAGACTGTCCACAGATTAAAATCACCCACATATGAGAGATCATAATAAATACTTTACAATGGTCTAATACTAAAAAATACAACAAAATAAAATCCACAAATGTGATTCATCTTGCCATTTCTAATAACTTTTCCGTAAATAATTTTGACTTTTCTGAATAGACAAAATTTATTATCATCTGTGTCTAATGATGTTTTTATTTTTACCTTTTTACCTTCTTATGTCTTATTTCTTCCTGTTCTTGCCTTATTGATCTGGGTAGAACTCTTCCAACAACGTTTTATAGAAGTTATGCTAGAGGGCATCCTTGTCTGGCCTATCACATTGCCTTTAACTTGATGTTTGAAGTTGTGGGCTTTAACAGATTACATTCCCCACCCCTTTTTGGCACGTGGGGGATTAAGAAAGTTACTTTCTATTTTTTAAGACATATAGTTTTCAAGGTGAATCAAGATGAAATCATGAATACTTAATAAATTTAAAATGACAAGCAACCCAATAGAGAAATGGGCAAAAGACACCAACAGGGAATTCACAGACAAGAAAACACAAATTGTGAATAAACATATAAAACTATTTTATCCTCACTAATAATCAAATAATTTCACACCTCGTCAAATGCCCTAGAGAAATTTCTGCACACATGGAGCAGGTAATGCATGCAAGAATATTCATAGTAGCATAATAGAAAACACCGAACATCAGCTCAGATGTTCAACAGAAGAATGGAATAGCTATTATGTATTTATTTAATGCAACGTTATGTGTCAATGAGAATGCAAGAACTAGAACAACATGCAAAATTGTGGATAAATTCCAGAAAAATGGACTATTACATACACATGTGTTATATATATTTTGGATGTAGCAAATATGAGGTTCTCTTAATTAAAAATGTGAATGATTGCCTGCATATCCTCTCAATCCTTCCTGCTTTGGTGAGTATTGGGAAAGACATGGACCCATGTTCTTGCTGGTGTGCCCAGAATGCAAGGCCCTTTACCGGGACCATTTCATAGCGTTCTGTTTGCAGTGAGCAAACTTAAGGATTGAGGTCATGTATCTCACCAAAGAGCAGGCTTGCTTCTACTTGCTGGAAAGAAAAATCACCAACATTTAGCTCTTCCAACTCAGTGTTCCTCACTGTGATGCAAACCTACTGTGCCTGTAGTTTCCACTGGGGATATCATCCTCTATATCACTTCTATGAGCTCTGAGAATCAAAAGAAACTGGTAAGACCATGCTGATACGCTGACCACTGTTGTCCCATGAGTAAAAAAGTCTTTGCCCTTACTTAAAAGTCTTGTGTCTTCTGCCAACATCTGTAAACCAGCAATGGGCTAACTTGTTAGGCTGCAAGTGGAATCAACTCTCAGACTCTTCATAAACCTTGACCCTAAGTTGAGAGAGTAGAAAAACTTCAAAAGACCTTGATCCTGTTTAGTTGCTAAATATCATGACTTGGACTACTCAGTAACTTATAGATTTTGCATTTCTTTGTGAAAACAGAGAACTTGAAAAGGAGAGAATGGAAGTGTATAGTCTCTAACATCCTACAATTCTTTATTGTATAAGCACAGAAAAAAATTTCCTGAGACCTAAAATGATGGCTTTCACTGGGATAAAAATGGAGTTTTCAAAGAATTGAAACTCTTTTGCAATTCCACCTTGTCAATATCTGAATCTTAAATCATGAAGTCCTTTGGTGGGAGGTGTTCCTTTCCTCCTCCAGCCTTCCTTTTTCCCTTATTCCATTTTCTGCCTGTGGACATTGATGCAGTGGAAGCAGTGGGGTAGAGAAATGCAGCAGCCCCTCAGGGCTGTGTTGCTGTGCTCTTCTCTGCAGCGCCAGGGCTGGAAGCCTGGCTTCTGCCGTAGCTTCTTCCAGTCAGAGGCAGTCTCATTTGACAAGCAGAATAAGTAGAGGTAGAAGCCATCATTGGAATTATTCCTCAAGCAGAACAAAGTAGGAATATGGCTTTGGCAGAGAGCAGAAGCGAACCAGTGGGTTCCCGACATTCTCCTGAGAACCACTCATTTTGGCGCCACAGATGATCGAGATCATCGGTGGTGGTTTCCTATGAGTCCTTCAACTTCTGTATTCGATGGGGGGTGTTTTTCCAGACTTTTGATCCCTCAATCTTTGTTTTTGTTGTTTTGGGAGTGGGGGGGTTGGTTTGAAAGTGGCTGATCTGTTGTGTTAAATTCTTCCTGCTCCAAATATGGGCAGTGGTTTCTATTGTCCTATCAATGAATGTTCCTGATAAAAAGAAGGTAAAAGTTGAGAAGAAAACACTCCCTCCATAGCTTTTAAACTATAATGGTAAAAACAGAGGTGGGGTTTTGATTAGAACCTCTGTCCATGTGTGTTAACTTTCCATTGCTGCCATGACCTAACAGCTTAACACAGCACTTGTGTGTGTGTGTGTGTGTGTGTGTGT